CAGCAACAGTCTCTCTCTCTCTCTCTCTCTCTCTCTCTCTCGTGTGATGAGCTAAGAGAGTCCCGTGGCATAGCAGTAAAGCGTCTAAGGTGTTTGATGGCGAGTTTGTCATGAAGACACAGTGTAGATTTACTCTGCACACTTTGTCATTGTGAGATCCAGTTTCATCCGTCACTCCCACAGCTTTCAATCAATCTCCTGCCGCAGTCTTCGCTCTTTAGCTGACAATTTGCTCACTGATGGAGAGCAGAGCACTTCAGTGAGCGACCGTCATGCTCTATGACTGGGAAACCATGCCAGAGAGTCTCTAATCGCAGCAGAAGATGGCACTCGATGTGTCTGTATCAGTGAGGAAGAGACTTATAGTCAACAAATCAAAAGTGTAGAGCCGGGTCAATCAGTCGATGGGCACTGGACCTTAACTGTGACCGTTTGACCAAATGAACAGGTGTTAGTGCCTCCTAGTGTCAGTTCAAAGTTTAATGACACATACGCCAATAGATGATAAACTATTTCTGTTTTCAGGGTTTTTTAGTGAATTCTGACAGAATATTGTGCACATTTATTAATTTGATTTGGTTGTTCATTTATTTATCTATCTGTACAGAGGGAAAGATTTGAACTAATTAATTTTTTGTGTGTTTGGTAAATGTTGACTGTGTGTGTATTTCTTTATTTATTTGTCTGTCTATCTTTATGGAGAAAAAATATAATATCAAATATGATTCAGATATTTTTTAATATGTTTAGTTTTTTTTCGCAGAATATTGTGCAAATGTATTTATTTGTTTGTTTTTTAATGTATTCATTACAGAGGAAAATATTTTAACTAATTGCTTAAAATATTATTAAAATATTATTTAATAATATTTGGTATATATGTTTAGTGAATTTTGCAGAATACTGTGTAAATTTAATTTCACTAAAATTAAATTAAAATTTAAGAAAAGTGTTTTACTTGAAATATTATTTAAATATATATATAATATTATCAAAACATTGTTTATTTATTTATTTTATTATTCATTGTTATTATTTTATTTATTCATATATCTTAGTAGAGAATATTTGAACAAACTACTTTAAATGTTATTCAAATAAGTAGTGAATTTATACATAATATTTTGTAAATGTAGTTTATTTATTTATCTATTTTGCAGAGAAATTTTTGATCTAACTACTTTAAATATTATTTAGTATATTTAGTGAATTTAGACAATGTTGTATATATTTATTTATCTATCTACCTACCTTTGCAGAGAAACATAACATAACAACTTAAAACAATATTTAGTGAATTTAGACATAGGCCTATAGTGTAAATTATTTAGTTTTTCATTTATTCATGTATTGTAGTGCTGAAACTGAAATGCAATTGACAAACTTCTTATTTGCTGAACTGATGTTGTGTGTTGTTTATGATGCAGGAAAATGCTAAAAACTTTGTTTTGAATGAATGAAGTTTATATTCACACTTCCCTCATCATGCATTAGAATCCCAGCAGAAATCCACACCTCAGCACTTGTTCTGTTTCTTCCTTCGCTCCTCCGCCGATACCAATCAGACTCTTAAGTGGCTCGTTACGTTTCTCCTGCTTCCCTGAGACGTTTGTAGCTCATAAATAGGTATATGCGTGTAGAACTCAGTCTGCAGTCCAAGCGTGTAGTCAGATGTTTGATGGATCTGCGAGACGGGAATATCGGACGTCGGGAGGCGAAGAGGGGCGAGATTGAGGGCTGCGATCGGGTCAGACGAGACGAAGAACAAATGACTTTCCAGATCCAGCCAGTCAAATGTGATGCAGCACGGATCTTGTAGAACGACGGTGAGATTTGTCTTCCAAATAGCCGGCGTCCGTGAGCAGAACGACTGCTCGTGGGCTGGAATGAGCGATTGGGAGTTAATCCTAGCTTCAGCGTGAGGCCCAGCGGCCAGGACGCTGTCGAGAGCGTTTATCTTGAGGTCGGAGAATGAATTTATTCAGGGGAATGACTCTTGTTTTTTTTTGGAGTTGGAGCCGAACGCAAACAGAGCAGAATCCTAATGTCCGTGTTTATACTGCGGGATGGTAATCTGATTAGCTCTATTCTGTGCTGCTGATGTGATTCAGCGGCGCTCGCCTCAAATCAGCCAATCGCGATCTTAGCATAAAGGGTCATTTCTGCTCTCCAAGAAGCATTTTCTTATTACCGCGTATGATTTGATTGCCCTATTCAGTCTTTCGGAGAAATGCACTCGCTCGTTGGCGACTCTCGATGACAGAGTTGATTAACGTTTGGAGCGATCGGCTCTGCGTCTTCAGCTCGTTAACGTGACTGGCGCTTTTTTTTTGAGGGGACTCAACACTTCACTCAGCACCTGAGAGTGTTACGAGCACACAAACAATTATTTCAATCAATGTCATAAAGCTAGTGAGCTAAGCCAGTAGTAGTACTGACAGTGTCGAGTAAACATGACTGAAGAGACGAAAAAGCAGAGGAACGGACAAACTAAATAAATTGAGTGAATCATTTACACTGGAAGCACTCCGATTGATTCAAACTCGTGACTTCGATCATTCAGTTCAAGCCATTCACTAGCAAAAACAGATGAAAACAGCCATTCATTTTTGAATGTTTTCCGGTCGTGTTGTTTTAGAAGGGCCGAGCATCAGTGTGAGCAGAGCTCTCTCTCTCTCTCTGTTGTCTGAAGCTTCTGTCCTCAGATCTCTTTGATTGTCTGAAATGCATC